GGCCCTGGGTCCCCTGGGCCACCCAAGGGACCACGCTGCCTCCTTCCCACCCTTTGAAAGCTGGGGCTGGGCTAATCAGATGTGCGGAAGGTGACAGTGGGACCGTGCTCCAGGGCCCTTCATATTCTGGTACCTCAGCTTTACCCCAGGTTCCCGCTAACCCAGAGTTTAGTTCACAGAAAACTCTCAGCTCTACGTCTGCTCATCCTTCCTCCTGCTGCCTCCCAAGTCTTCATCACACCCTGGGCTCCAGCCTAAGTCTTAACCGCACGTCTGAGGCCCCCTCCTGGCCCGCGACCCACAGTAAAACAGAACAACCAGGTAAATGCAGTAGAGAGAGTCATAAAGATAAGCAGACAGCTATGAAAGACTCCCGTAGCTCTTTGTGCTACAAAGTTAGAAAAGCTGGTTGAAATGATTTTCTGTAAAAATACCAATGACCACCCGGCACAGTGCAGATGCCTAGGATCTCGGCAGCTCAGGAGGGTTGTGAGTTCCAGACCAGCCTCAGCAACTCAGCGAGGCCCTAGACAACTCAGTGAGACCCTGTCTCAACGGAAGAAATAAGGGGTGGGGCTGTAGCTCAGTGGTGGGACACTTGCCGCCCATGTACGAGGCCCTGGGTTCAATCCTCAGCACCACATAAGAATAAAACAAATAAAGGTATTGTGTCCATCTGCATCTAAAATATATATTAAAACATGATGAAACATAAAAAGGGCTGGGATGTGGCTCAGTGATTAAGCACCCCTTGGTTCAATCCCTAGTACCAAGACAAACAACAAAAAATAACCTACAATTGAACAAAATTCACTCAAAAGAGAAAAGAAAGGAAAAAGAAAAAAAGAATTACCCTGATCTGATCATCATGTATCGTATGTACTGGAATGTTACACTGTACCTCATGAATATGCATAATTGCTATATGTCAATTAAAATATAAATCTATTTTTAAAAAAGCACACTTAAAAGCCCCAGTAATCGTGGAATGAATTAAGAATGTTATTTGGTAATATCTTTCCAAAAAGCACTACTTTGGATAGTTTGGGAGGAAATACTTCAAAATAATTTTTCTGCTAGTCAAATAGTTCGGCAGCATTAGAAAAAAAAATCTCATTTGTTTTTACTAATACTAAACCCTTACAAAGTATTTAAAGGATGTCTAGGGCTGGGGCTGGGGTGGGGACTCAGCGGTAGACGCTTGCCTAGCACTTGTGAGGCCGTGGGTTCAATCCTTAGCACCACATAGAAATAAACAAAAATAAAGGTATTGTGTCCACCCACAACTAAGAAAAAAAAAAAAAACAGGTCTACAAAAAAATAAATAAAAAATAAAAGAACACCTATAGACCGACCTTGATTATTGTGAAAATCTTAACAAAATGCTAACAAACCAGAACCGCAGGATATAAAAGACATAATGCGTTATGACAAGTGGAATGGAATTCACTTTTTGAAATATTTAGATGATTCAGTACTAGAAACTCTATGAGAATTACTATTCTAATAGATCAAAGAGAAAGTCATTATCTTCTGATGAAATCTTACATTTCATTAAAACTCTGAGTAAAATGGTGATGGATGAATACTATTTAAAATTATATATATATGTCTATAATAAAATTCCAGCATTATATTTAATGGGAAAATATAGGATCATTTCTATTAATATTGGGAACAAGGTGAAGATGCTTCCTATTTTCTCTACTATTTTACATTGTTCTGGACATGTTAGACACTGAATTCAGACAGTAAAGTAAGGGGTATAAATATTAGAAATCGTGAGGCAAAATCAGTATTTCTTTGTTTTTATTTTTTTGCTACTGGGGATTGGATCCAGGGGAACTTAATCACTGAGCCACATCCTCAGCCCTTTTATTTACATTTCATTTTGAGACAGGGTCTCACTAAGTTGCAGAGGCTGGCCTTGAATTTGGGATCCTCCTGCTTCAGCCTCCTGAATCAAAGGGATTACAGGCATGTACCACCTTACCTGGCTAAAATTTCTCTCTCTCTCTCTCTCTCTCTCTCTCTCGTTGTTGATGTACCTTTATTTATATGCAGTGCTGAGAGTTGAACACAGGGCCTCACACATGCTAGGCAAGTGCTGTGCCACTGAGCCACAACCTTAGCCCCTAAACTTACTCTTTCTTACATGTGACATAACTTATATCTGAAAAACAAAAGAAATTTAACTATTAGAAGCAATAAAAGGTAGAGAATCTGCCTGGGCAGTACACAAATGAGGAACACCATGAAAAATTCTTCACTCTTAAAAGTAAACAGAGAGGTGCAAATTAAAAAAAAAAAAAAAAAAAAAGGTCAGAGTTCAGAATTTCAGAATCACCACCTATGAGATGAGCAAAATTTTAAAAACTGGTAGATCCAGTTCTGGTTGGAGTACGAGGAAATATGTAGAAATGAATCATGTAATTATAATTTATATGAATAACAAACTGATGTATAAAACAAAATGTGACAAGGTGGTCATTTAATCATGAATTTTCTCAGGAACAATTACTAGTCAAAAAATACAGTAGAAGAAAAAACAGTAAATCATAAAAAACATAGCTGAAACTTTACCAACGGAATACCTGAGAAAAATGTGGCAAGATCTGTGATGCGACCTACAGAAACTAGAAAATACTGTTAGAGAACAGGAAATGGAATCTAAGAGACAACCGTCAATTCTCCCATTGAGCTATAAAGTCGTGGACACCCTGATAAAAGATCCCAACAGCAGCCAGCAGCCAGCTGCAGCCCTTCCCAGCCTCCACCTCCTTTTGTGCCACACCAAAGTCCCCACTAGAATGACCTAGTGACGTGCTTCTTTCTTTCCTTCTTTTTAACCTGGTGATTTTGAAAGAAAACGCTGAGTATCTGGAGCTGTGTGGTGCGCTGCCTTGGAGACTGGAGGGAGAGACTGAAGGACTCCATCATCCCCAGGCTGAGGCCGGAGGCAAGGCAAGCTCCTGAGCCAGGCTGCGTTCAAATTCTGATCCTGGAGCCCCACAGCTGGAAGACGTGGGCCATGTCCTTAGTCCCTGGTCAGATTCTGGGCTCAGCCCTTAGGAATGGACTTATCTGACTTATCAGTGTTTACTGAGCATCCGGTAAGTCAGGCACCAGGGGGCACAAAGGTCACCGAGACACGGGAAGGTGTCTAAAGGTCACTAGGACACTGCAAGGTGACTACGTGCAATTTGGTGGTCACTGCGGTCTGTAGTCAGGCCAGGTCAGAAATCTGGCGTGGACGTCACTTCTCGTAGAATGTTGAGAAAATGAGCTGATTGACCCATAAAATGGTGACCATCACCTTCCCTTCTTGGGATTGTTGTGAGGGTCAGTGAGAAACCTGTCCCTCCTGTGGCCCGTCGTGGCCCTCGTCCCTCCTGTGCCTCATCCCTCCTGTGCCTCGTCCCTCCTGTGGCCCTCGTCCCTCCTGTGCCTCGTCCCTCCTGTGGCCCGTCCCTCCTGTGGCCCTCATGGCCTGGTGGACCTGCGTGGCCTCACGGGTCCTGTGTGCTCAACGCCCCCGAGGGATGTCGTGGTGGCTAAGTGGCACCTAAAGCTCTCCCTAGGGCCTTGGGGAGTGAGTCCTCCTGGTGGCTGCTGCGACAAGACTTGGGGGAGAGGCTCCATCTCTGGCACTGACACCCGAGTCCACCTCAGAGGGGCTGCAAACCCCAGCCTTCTCCGCAGGACTCCGGGGGAGGCCGGGGCGGGCGTGTCGCGAGTTCAAGGCCAGCCCCAGCAACACAGCGAGGTCCTGACAATTCAGCAAGACCCTGTCTCTACATGAAATAAGATGGCGTTTTAAAAAGGGCAGGGGTGTGCCTCGGCAGTAAAGCGATCCCCTCAATCTCCAGCACCAAAAAGAAACTGAGTTCGACGCCGGGAGCCAGAGAGGAGATCTCACTAATGACTGGAGGGGCCTTCATTTCCACCTGCACAGCCAGAGCCTGTTCAGAGCAGAGCCACACTCCCCGGCGCAGTGGCCCGGCCTGTACTCTCTGGAGGCTGAGGCCGGAGGGTGGCGAGGTCAGAGCCAGCCTCAGCAACACAGCGAGGCTCCCTGTAACAGTGGCCCTTTGTGCTGTGAATGCAGCCCTGGCGGCTCTGCACTGGGACTTACTTATTCCTCAACTTATTTTCTAAATGGACGTTTCTGTTTCTTCCTTTCTCTCTCTTCTCCCTGATCTCAAGGGAAATGCGACACCTTTCTTCCTCGTCCTCCGCAGAGCCGTCTGTCCCTGAGCACACACCCACCCTGGGAACCAAGTGACCCAGACTTTGGGGAAGGAGTCAGAAGATCTCAGAAATGACTCAATCCCAAATTGTCCAGGGAGTCACACTTCCAGCAGAGAACACCTGGAGAGACGCCTTTGAGTCACCTCTGACAGCCGCCTGCTCCTGTGATGGCGGAGCCCCGGCCGTGGGCCAGGAGCCTGTGTCTCTCCTCTGCCCACACTAAGCTTCCTTTCCCTTGTTCTCAAACTGAGTTCTGGGGCTGCGCGGGGCTCAGAGGCAGAGCGCTGGCCTCGCACCTGTGAGGCCCTGGGTCCCATCCTCAGCACCCCATGGAATACACAAACAAAATGAAGACATCGTGGCCATGCGTAACTGAAAAAAATACCCAAAACCCTAAAACTGTGTTCTCGTTATTGGATTGGCACTGGGGACAAGGACCCAGCTGTCAGCAATTCTCCTGTCTCAAAACAAGAAAGAAAAGGGCTGCGACGTGGCTCAGTGGTCAAGCTCCCTGGATTCAGTGGCCGCTGCCGGTAATCATGAGATAAAGCACAAAGGAAACAAGGTCCCTCGAGACCCCTGTCAGGACAAGAACGTGTGACAGAGTGTAGCCTGACTCATCAGACAAAGCCTCGCTCCAGGACAGCAGGAGTCTGTCACCGCTGGAAGGGGATTTGCAAACATCCGTGGTCTCTGGCGACGCACTGCCTGTGTGTATGACTGAGGCAAAGCGTGGCCTTCAGTCAGAGATGGGCGGCAAAGACACGTCGTCTCCCCCAGACTCATGGGTCCCACAACGGGCCGTCCATGGGCCTGGTCGAGGGCCCCACCCCTCAACTGCGGGTCTCACCCCGAAGCGCTCACACTTGTTCTGCCCGCACCCCAGCGGGGGCCGCGGCCGCCCCGGGGCCTGCTCCCCTGTGGCCACGTGCCACACAGGCAGCTCTCGAGGCCTGGCGGCCGTCCAGGCTGGACGCGGGGGCTCCACAGCTCGCTGCCCCTCTTCCCTAATGCGTCCGTTTATCTGCTTGGTGCCGCCGGGGACTGAGCCAGGCCCCGCACGTGCCAGGCCGGTGCCCGACCACCGGCCACAGCCCCCGCCTCTCCCAGGGACCCTTTGGCTCCTCTTTGTCTATGAAAAGGCCACTCTGTCCTCTGTCGCCCCATCCCCGCCCCATGAGCACCCCCACGAGGGGGCAGCCCGTGTCGGCAGCAGGGTGCGGGGCTGGGCCTGTCAGGGAAGGCCCTTTCAGGGGGGTGGCACCCGCCTGGCACCCTCCTGTGACACCCTGTGGCTCCCGGGAGCCCCTGGGAGAAGAGCCAGCGCCCGCCCGGCCCTCTCTCCCCCAGACTTCTCCCGGCAGAAGGTCTTGTCCCCAAGAAGCAGTTTCCCAGCGACGTCTCCGAGGTTGGTCCCCACCCAGCCCCCGGCCCCGGCCCCTGTCCTGGGGTCTGGGGGTTCTGGACCGAGGCCCTCTCCCGGGGCACAGCAGCTGTCACCGTCCCCCGTTCGCAGCCCTCAGGCCCCAGTGGCCCTCTTACCCCAGGACACACGGACGCTGGCTCTCAGGCTGCGAGCTCTCCTTCTCAGAGCAGCGCCCCACTTCCGCCTGTTGGCGCCTGCCGCTCTCCGACGTGGTCCTCGGAAACCACAGGGTGGGTTTTCAGCGCTCAGGGTCTTCCTGCCGCTCTCTCCTCTACCCGCGCGGTAGGCTTTGCTCTTGGCTCTCCGCCACCGCCTCCTTCACCTTCCTCCTTTCTGCCACCCACCACCCATGTTTTTGAGGGGGGAGGTCCCAGGGATTGAACTCAGGGCACCTGACCACTGGGCCACATCCAGCCCTATTTTGTGTTTTATTGAGAGACGGGGTCTCACTGAGTTGCTTAGCGCCTGGCCATTGCTGAGGCTGGCTTTGAACTCACGATCCTCCTGCCTCAGCCTCTGCAGCTGCTGGGATGAAGGAGGCGCCACTGCAGCCCGCCCACCCACATATTTTTGTATTAGGATTAGACTAAGGTGCTGCACAGTCCGAGAAAAACCATGCCCTGAAATTGCTTCTTTTACCTTAGGGTAAAAGCTCTCACTCGGTGATCCGCGATCAGGCTAGAACTGGACACACAGAAGACGGGAAGGCACAATGTGCCCCAGATGTAAAGCAAGCTGCCAGCGCTTCCCGGAGCAGCCCCCGCCGCACACCAGGGCAGGAGACTGAACCCGGAGGGACATCCCAGGCCTTTTAAAAAGTTTTATTTATTTTTTATTTTGAGACAGAGTCTCACTAAAGTTGCCCAGGCTGGCCTCACACGTGGGATCCTCCTGTGTCAGCCTCCCAAGTAGGTGGGCACCACGGCACCTGGCTTGAGAGCAGGTTCTGGGGAGTAGGAGGAGAGAACTGAGCTGCTCCCGGCCAAAGGGGAAGGAGCAGGGAGCTGTCAGGGAGGCCGCCTGAGGGGTCTGCACTGGAGCTGTGCACCTGGCAGCCAAGACCGCCCTGTGCTGAGAGGACGGCGAGTTCTGGAAATGGGGAGAACCAGGTGGTCCAGTGGGCACTTCTGCAGGGGCAGCGACTCAGATGCCGTGGTTCTCAAACCCGTGTGTGTGGAGCCACTAGGAGGGCTGCTTACAGTAGAGCCGGCATGGCCGGGCTGGGCTCAGCGGCAGAGCGCCTGCCTGGCCTGCGTGAGGCACGGGCTGATCCTCAGCACCACATAAAGATAAAACACAGTGAAGGCACGCTGTCCACCTACACCATCCGTCCATCTATCCATCTATGTGGCAGGGCATTCCTAGCCTGGATGGTGGCACACCACTCTCATCCCAGCTACTCTGGAGGCTGAGACAGGAGGATCCCAGGTTTGAGGCCAGCCTCAGCAACGCACAAGACCCTGTCTTAAAGTAAAACAAATAGATAAAAAGGGCTGCAGATTTATCTCAGTGGCAGAACACCCCCGGGTCCAATCCCCAGTGCCACAAAAAGGAGAGGAAAAGGCTGTTTCTCATGCGTTCCCAGTAGGGCTGCTGTGGCCCTTACTCCGCGCACTGTCCTCCGTCCTCCCTCCGGTACCCTCCGCTGGAGGCTCTCTAGTGGCCGGCCGCTCACCACTGCTCACACGGGAAGTTCTTCCTCGGTGACGAGGGGGACGGCAGGTTCCCCAGCGGCCTCAGTGAGGAGGTGAGGCAGCGGGACCCTGCCTCAAGATAAGACCTAGCACAGGGCCGGGCGCGCCCAGTGGGGGTGCCTCGGCCGGTCCCCAGTGCGGGGACCACGTCCGGGTTAGGGCGCCTCTTCGGCCCCCCGCGAGCCCCGCAGAAGGCGCGTGCGGTTGGCCGGGGCGCGGGCAGCCGTCGGCCTCGGCTCCCCCGCACAGCCCTGGCGTGGCCCGGGACGGCCGCCAGCTTTTCTGAAGGGTCCTCAGCTGCGGAGTGTGGACAGTGGCGCCGTGGACCCGGATTCTGGGCGGGTTCCCGAGAGGAAGCCGCAGCCCAGTGGCCGGGCTCGGCTCGTGGTGGCCGCTCGGTGGCGCTGGCCCCACTCGTACCGCGGAGTCCGTGTCCTGCTGAGGGACGTCTCCACGGACCCGCTCCTCCGGTCGCCCGAGGGCGTGCTTTCCGCGTCCCTTCGTCCTCGTGCCGTCCTCCCGCGCGGCGTCTTTGTGGAGCCGCCCTGTCCCGCCCGGCTCTGCCGCGCCTCGCAGCTTCTTCACGCAGCACGGACACCCGCGTCCGCCACCGCCTCCCGCGCACCCTCACCCCAGGCCCCGAGGTGCCCGCGCCCGCAGGCGGAGGGGTCCCCCAGGACCCGGGACGGCCCCTGCAGGTGGAGAGGTCCCCGAGGACCCGGGACGGCCCCTGCAGGTGGAGAGGTCCCCCAGGACCCGGGACGGCCCCTGCAGGCGGAGAGGTCCCCCCCAGGACCCGTGACGGCCCCTGCAGGCGGAGGGGTCCCCCAGGACCCGGGACGGCCCCTGCAGGCGGAGAGGTCCCCCAGGACCCGGGACGGCCCCTGCAGGCGGAGGGGTCCCCCGAGGACCCGTGACGGCCCCTGCAGGTGGAGGGGTCCCCCAGGACCCGGGACGGCCCCTGCAGGTGGAGGGGTCCCCCAGGACCCGGGACGGCCCCTGCAGGTGGATGGGTCCCCCCAGGACCCGTCATGGCCCCTGCAGGTGGAGGGGTCCCCCGAAGACCCGGGACGGCCCCTGCAGGTGGAGGGGTCCCCCAGGACCCGTGATGGCCCCTGCAGGTGGAGGGGTCCCCCAGGACCCGGGACGGCCCCTGCAGGTGGACGGGTCCCCCAGGACCCGGGACGGCCCCTGCAGGTGGAGGGTCCCCCGAGGACCGTGACTGCCCCTGCAGGTGGAGAGGTGCCCCAGGACCCGGGACGGCCCCTGCAGGTGGAGGGGTCCCCCAGGACCCGTGATGGCCCCTGCAGGTGGAGGGGTCCCCCAGGACCTGGGACGGCCCCTGCAGGTGGAGGGTCCCCCGAGGACCCGGGACGGCCCCTGCAGGTGGAGAGGTCCCCCAGGACCCGTCATGGCCCCTGCAGGTGGAGGGGTCCCCCGAGGACCGTGACGGCCCCTGCAGGTGGAGGGGTCCCCGAGGACCGACCGTGACTGCAGCAGGCGGCTGGCGGACGTGAGCGCCTCTGACCCTTGGCCCCATCAGGCCGAGCCCTCACCTGGGGTGGGGGCTGACGCTAAAGGAGAGGGGTGGGCGGCCCTCGGGCTCCAGCGGCCGGGGAGGCCGGGCTTCTTTCCTGGAGGAGGGTGAGCTGCCCCCTGGCACAGCCCCTCATGTTCTGGAAGGAGGCCAAGCCCAGGCCAGAGGGCAGTCACAGCGAAGCTGCGTAGGCGTCTTGGCCCCCACCCACGCTGCCACTGCTGGCCTCGACCCGAAGTCCTTGTCGTACAAAGGAAGGAGCCAGGCTGTGTTGTCGTGCAGACCCAGGGCAACTGCTCGCGTGGAGCTGGCAGGCGGCGCCTGGGCGGCAGTCTCCGTGTCAACGCTGGGTCCCACTCTGCAGTGAGCGGCTCCTCAGGAATTTTGACCTCAGGTTCTCTTTGAATAGAAGGCACAGCGAATCCATCTGCCGCACTGCCCTGTCCCCGAGACTCGTCTCCTCCTCCCTGGCCATAGAGGACACCAGGCTTGGTTGCAGCCAGGCCTCTGGCTCTAGGGGGGCCGGCCGTGGGCTGCTGGCTGAGCAGCCCAAACCCGGCCGCCTGCTCCCGACCCTGACTTCTGCAGGATGAGCTGAGTTCCCCCAGGACAGCAGCGATGGCGCAGCCACAGCCCTGTCCCACGTGTGCTCCCCCGGCCACACGGCCACATGGCCAACCGCTGTGGAGTGAACAGGGAGACGGCGCCTCTCTCCAACTCCAGGCCACGCCGTCCCCGGGACACCAAAGTCACTGTGTGGCCCTGTAGCTGCACACCCTGCCCTGAGAGCCACCCCACAGCTTCACCCGGGACCCCAGTGCCAGGACCCCTCTCCGGCTCCTGCCAAGCTCTGTCTTTGACGGAAGGAACGGGGGCGGCCTCTTCTGCTGTATGACAGCTGTGCTTCTCAGCTCCCACAGGCGCCGGCTGCCGGCCTGGCCCACCAGCCCATTTCCAGGGTGACGGGGCGGGAGCCCGTGGGGACAGACGGTGTTGGTCACACCGAGGGGACAGGAAGGCCAGCCTGCGTGGGCAGGGCAGGGAGGCTGCAGCTCCCTGGGGTAAGCAGGCGCATCCCGACTGGGACTCTGAGGAGGGCCTGCCCTTCTCCAGCGCTTCCTGAGGGCCACTTTCCCCTGGCCTCCTTCAGCTCCAGAAGGTGGGGAAGTCGGCAGGCACAGGGCAGAACACAGGGGCGCTGGCCCCTCCGCCTCTGATGGGGCCGTATTTTGAGGCAAGGTAGCTTTTGGGGGGGGGTGCTGGGGGCTGAACCCAGGGCCTTGGGCATCTGAAGCAAGGACTCTACCCACGGAGCCATACCCCCAGCCGAGGGGAGCTGACTTGATCAAACCTGGCACTGGGGTCCCGGGTGAAGCTGTGGGGTGGCTCTCAGGGCAGGGTGTGCAGCTACAGGGCCACACAGTGACTTTGGTGTCCCGGGGACGGCGTGGCCTGGAGGCGGAGGACGCTCCTGTTCCTGTTCTTTCTGGCTGGCTTCTTGCGTCTGGCTGAGGCCAGGCTGGCTGCATTCCTAAGATCCCTGCGGCTTCCTCCCTCCCCAGCCGGGCCCTGGAGAAAGGGGCTTTTTAAGACAGAATCCACACTTTCCGAGGGCCATTGGTGGTCTCGATCCCTCAGAAAGGCCAGGGCAGATCCTTCTAGTCCACCCTCTGAGGGCGCCCTGACCTTGGTACACAAGAGCCCTTGCTCTGCACCTCGGGTTCACTCTGGGTGGAAACCTGACCTATCTCGACCCCTCAGCTGGGACAAGGAAGAGCGGGAAGGACTACTAGAATTCCTTTGTAGCCAACCTGTAAATGTCAGTGATCCGTGACTCCTCAGGGGTCCTCGGGCCTCCCCTGCCTAACATCTGGTCACTATAAAAACTAGAAGATTCTGGGAGCTGGGTACCTTTCGAACACCTGTAACCCCAGTGACTCAGGAGGGAAGGCGGGAGGACTGCAAGTTGCAGACCAGACTCACAATGTAGCAAGGCCAAAGCCACCGTCTCAGAATAAAAAGGGCTGAGGAAGTAGCTCAGTGGTGAGGCTCCCTGGGTTCAATCCCCAGTGCCAACAAAATCCCCAACAAAACCCTAGAAAATTCTCATCATCCTCCATGGGGACAGCGTCAATGTGCCGCTGCAGACTGGCCTGTCCCTCCGCCCGCCCATCTCCCCACACTGCTGTAAAACACTTATCTCAGTCCTGCATCTGGACCCTGGCCTAATAAATTCCTCCCGAGGCTGCTTCTTCGGAGGGTGGAGGAGCCAGGAGGGGGGAGGAGAAAAGGGAGACTGTCATAAAACCGACTCTGGACGGAGCAGAAACCACTGGAGCTTAAAATGCCAGATCAGGGGAGGTTAATGAGCTACTAAAATGAAAGGCGACGCCAGGACACCGAGTCTGAAGGTGGACTAAAGATCTCCACCAAAGGTGGCTGTCCATCCCCGCTGGGCCCCGAAGACGGGAGGTGGGGAGATTGCCCTGGAAGCCAGCCGCAGGGTCAGTCTGGCTGGCTCAGCTGTGCACAGGAGGTGTCCTTGGCTGAGCCACTCCACCTCTGGGTCTGTGTTTCACAGTAAAAGACAAAACACACAAGCACACAGCTGAGGTGGCACAACTCAGCAACAGGGAAATAACCCGCTTCCAAAAATGGGTCATGGACCTGAGTAGACATTTCTACAGATGACACGTAAGTAGCCATAAGTGTGTGGAAAAAATGCTCCATGACATTGACCACCAGGAAAATGCAAGTCAAAACCACAGCGAAATTTTGACTCACACCCTTTGGATGGTTAGTATAAAATACATAAATAAAAATAACACGTGAAGTGTCCCTCAGGAGGTGGAGAAAGTAGGACTTGGTGGGTTGCTGGTGGGAAAGTGCAATGGTGTGACCACAGTGGTAAAACCATGAGACCCAGCAATTCTACTTCTGGGCATATACCCCGAATAATCGAAAGCAGGGACTTGAAGAGATAGTTACACACCTGTGTTCATACAATACTATCCATAGTAACCACGAACTGGAGGTAAGCCACTCGTTGATGGGTGGATGAGTACATGTGGTATCTGCATACAATGGAATATTACTCAGCCTGCAAGGGAAAGTCTGATTCATGTTACAACATGGATGAACCTTGAGGACATTGGCTAAGAAAAATAAACCAGTAAAAAAGGGACGAATACTGTATCATCCCACTTACATGAGGTCTCTACAATAGTCAGACTCATTGACATAGAAAACGTAGAAAGGTGGTTGTCAAGAACTGGGAGAGGGGAGGGAAGAATCGGAAGTTAGTGTTTAATGGGTAGAGATTCAGTTTGGGAAGACCAAAGTGTTCTGAAGATGGATGTGGTGCAGCACAACAATGAGGAAGTTCTTACTGCTCTGCACCATGCACTCAAGAGCAGTTAAAAAGGGCTGGGCTGGGGCTCAGTGGCAGAGCGCTTACCCAGCATGTGTGAGGCTCTGGGTCCGATCCTCAGCACCACATATAAATAAATACATAAAGGTCCATCAGCAACTAATAAAAATATTTAAAAAGAGCAGTTAAAAATACATAAATTAGTGGGGAGAGGCAGTTCAATGGCAAATTTTATATATATATATATATATATATATATTTTTTTTTTTTTTTGGCAGGGGGCGTACCAGGGATTGAACTCAGGAGTGCTTAACCACTGAGCCACACCTCCAGCCCTTTTTTATATTTTATCTAGAGACAGGGTCTCACTGAGTTGCTCAGTACCTTGTTAAGTTGCTGAGGCTGGCTTTGAACTTGTGATCCTCCTGCCTCAGCCTCCTGAGCTGCTGGGATTACAGGTGTGCACCACTGCACCTGGCTGTATGTGTTTATTTTAACCACAATTTTAAAAAATTGAGGTGGAGAGATCAAGGATTCTGACCAGAGTGCTCAGGTGTGCCATGTGTAGGTTACTGAGGTGCCAAGTATTGACCCCTTTGACCTTCAAACAGATCAGGCAGGGCCATGCAGAGCTGACACTCTGGTTAGGTCACTTCCAGCCTTGAAGGGTGTCTTTGGGTTACATTTGTGCACACATATTGTAATGTTTGAAATTTCTCACTTATTTACTTCATTGTCACAATTAATGTATATTCAGAAAAGTGTATGAAATAAAACTCCATCATTAAATAACCGTGAAACAGCCACTTAGTTCAAAAACTGGAGTCTTGCCTGTGGCCAGAAACAGGAAGTGTGTTACCACCCAAGCCGGCTCTTCCGGTGAGGCCGATACTGGACACAGGTCAGTGGGGCCCGGGTTGCCCCGAGCCACCGACGCAGCTCTTACCGTCTCGACCTGTGACGTGCTGGCAAAGTGCTGGGAAGCAGGGGGAAGTCTTTGGGGTTTTCTGTTTTCCCAACCAGTGGCCCAGGACACCACACTGTGAGCAGACCAGGAGGCCACCCATGAGGCTCCCAGAGGCCTGATGTCCCAGGTGCCCATGGTTCACTTCCAGCCTGTTTATTTTCATAAGGCTTTTTGGTACAGGCTGTGCCCAGAAAGTAAGTAAAATGGTAATACTGTTATTATGGACTGAGCCTTCCCAGACCTGGACTCTCTACACGTCATCTTACTTAAATCTCTTGAGCAATTCCCTGAAGAAGTGTTAGCTATGTTTTACAGACGAAAAAATGGGATTTTTGATAGGAAAAGTCACTACCAAGTGATAGAACCATTTCTGACTCTAGATAATCTGCAAACCCTTCCTCTGTAGTCGATAGAAATACTGGGTCAAATAGAACAAGCTTTTTTTTTTTTTCATATAGATAGTTGGACTTTGAAGAAAGGACAGCAGGCTATAAGTTTCAGAAATGAAAGGTGAGAACCAGTGACCACAGGGCCACCCTGGAACAGGAGGTAGACCTAGGAACGGAGACCCTGCCTAGACGGAGCCTCACAGTTGCTGCTATTATTTGCATGATGCA